CAGGTATTCGGTGTTGCTGTTACAGAGATCGACCTGGCTTTCGGGAGGGCACACACAGGTGCCGCCCGACTCGGAGGTGATGTTGGAATTGACACTGATGATGTAGGCCATAGCGAAAAAGGTAGCGAGACCGGCGCGAATTTCGGTGAAGAAGTAGCTGCCTTTGCGTTCTTTCGGCTGTCTCATCCGTAAGCTTTCTTCTGAGCTTTTGACCTAACCCTCCGCAAGCAGAGGTAGAGGTATACTGACATGTCCCGAATTCTCCAGGCGAAACCATCGCCCAACAGGGCTTTGAGCCACCCGGAGATTGATTCTGTCGACCGCCTGAGTGATCCCCATGATGCGACAGCAAATAAGAAAAGAAAAAAGAGAGAAAGAGGCACCAGCCTGAAGCCAGACAGAATAGTCACGGAGGGAAAAACCCGTGCACAGATTGGAGACGCGATGCGACTTTTATTTCAGTTCCCTCCATGACATGCATGACCAACCACGCGACCGATAAGAAAACGGGAAAAAAATGGAGAAAAAATTTCGCGAACGGAAGAATCTGATTCGATCAATGGCTTATCTTTGAGGTCTCCAGCTTGGCAGTGCTTGGCAGTCCGTGGTTCTGTCCAGTGTGAGGCCTCTGTTCTGTGTGGTAATTGCCGATCGGGACGTTGGTTTCAGCGGGTCGAATCAAAAGGCCTGCAGCACATTGGTCGACGGATATCTCGGGGTCTCGATGGCGTTGATGGCGAAAAATATGTGGGAATAATAGATGGGTTCATGTCTGCGCATGTCATGTAGCTTCTATGACTGCACAATAACGCAACAAGGAGCTTGGTAGATGGCAAAGGTATCTAGCGGATATCACCGAGAGAATTGGCAAGGCCTCGTGCTGGACTGACGTCTGAGTGATGATAAGGTAGTACTGTGTAGAATGTACCTAGGCTGAGACTTAGCGTTGTTCTTCGTATCGCTCCGATCTCCTATCTCAAGGATGCTGGGGTTATCAGCAATTGATAAGCATTCACTCTGACAGCTCGCTGTTGATCATATCATAATAATGTTTATTATTGCCAACTGCGAGTGGAGAGCATGAGGCAAGGGACTCTGCAGATAGACAAGCTGTTAACCATGTGCCATAGTGGCCTCGGGAATGGCATCTGCTACTGATGCCTTAATGTTTGTCCTGTTTGTTCAGTTGACACACGTGATCTCTCTTATTGCTGTATCTAGAGGCTGGGATGTTCGTCCACCTCTTGCAGAGTTAAAAAGTTACAATCAATCCAGTGATCCCCTCCTGTTCAGAAACTATCCCGATTTCTCTTCAAACACAACTGGCGATGGGGCAAACTTGCTTCGCCGCCTTAACCAGGGACCAAACTTGATAAAAGCCAACGGAATAGGAATCATAATGAACGCCAAGCATCCCAATAACGTTCCTGCCCACTGCACTCCGAGATTCGTAAAGAGCTGGCGAGAAAAGAGCGGGAAACCAGCGCCAACAGCTGATCGAAGGATGGTGTTGGCAGCGAAGACCGATGCCGCACTGTGGACATTAGCATCATTAGCACACGACTCACACTCTCACGCAACGGGTATGCACTCACAATTGAAGGTACGAATCAATCAGATAGTTAAAGCACTGCAGGAAGATGACGTAGATTCCGAATCCGGTGAATACCCCAGAAGCCGTGGGAGCCATCCAGTGGATTGAGCGTGTCCAGCCCGTCCAGCCGTACCAGAACAGGCCGATTGTGAAGGCGGTACCGCCGACGATGGCCGGTGGGAGTCGCCACTCTGGGATTGGAATATCGTTGTTATTGCGCAGTTTGCGCGAATAATTCCTGGAGTCGATCAAGGAGTAGGCTCCGCCAGCGAGCTCGCCCACGATCAGGCCGATGAACGGCAGGCCGCCCACGCCCAAATTCATTCCGTGGGTGCGTTGGAACACGACCGGGTAGGCTCCGAGGAGTGCATACAGGATCCCGTATATGAAGGACATGTAGATTGTGATGAGTAACACGATCGGCTCGGTCAGAAGCATGCGAATGGGCCGGCTGAAGTTGTTCGTGAGCAGATCGTTAAGGTCAAGCTCGACCTCATCCTGCTTTGCGTGGATTCCCCAGTTGTGAGTCTGACGCCTCAGAGTTGCTGCCTTCTCCATCAGCACCACCGGAGCGTATGTCTCCTTGTAGAAGAAGATCAGGAGGACGACACCGAAGAACCCCATGATGGCGGAAATGTACATAGTCCAGCGCCAGCCCAGGTAACTCATTGTGATGAACCCTCCGGTGAATGGGGATGCGAAGGGGCCGACGAACACGGCCATTGCAAACATGGCAATCGCTATACCTCTCTGGCTGTTGTTGTACATGTCCGCAAAGGCAGCGGGCACAATGGCAAAGGGACTGGCGGCGAACAACCCTGCGAAGAAGCGAGTGATGAAGAGGGTCTGCGTGTCTTTTGCCGTTGCAGTCCCGATGGTGAAGATACTATATCCGATCATTCCTATCGTGATCGGCCACCGTCGCCCGATCAGCTCTGAGGCAGGGGCCCATATTGTTGGCCCTGCTGAGAATCCAAGCACATAAAGAGTGATCCCTAACGTGGCAACTTCTATGCTGATGCTGAACTTCTCCGCGATGGCGCCAATAGCGGATGAGAAGATGGCGCTGGCAAACGATGCCGTGAAGGTGATGTAGGCTAGGATGACGGACAGGAGTACCCTTCGTTTGGCAAGCAGCTGTCAGCGTCAGAATTTCGACTTGACAGTCTCGGGCCAACTTACTTTTTAGACATCGACCAGTTATGCGGGTGCATTGGGTCGTCTACGCCGGTAAATCCAACAACGTATTTCTCCGGATCAGGTAGGAGGGGAGGATAGTCCTTCCCATCGCCAAACGGAAGCCATTCTTCTCGAGGCGCTGGCCCTGCAGAGGAGCCGACCGTTGACCTGTGTGTCAGACGAAGACTCTCTACTCGAGCGAGATCGATGTTCGTCTGCCGCCGGCTGACGGGCTCTGAGCGGATATCTTCGAAGGTGGGAGCCTCTTCCAGGTCGGAGGTTGCGGGTGAGAGGCTACTGGCTCTTACATTGGGAGATGGCATTTTGTACAGCTGCTCGGCTTGCAATTGTGTGCAGAATCCTATGTTCAGAAGGTCTACGTCCGGTCAAGGTGTTTCGGTCACTTTGAGACTTGATGTCATCGACCCGGAGCATCCGTGGTTGAGTACAACGGCTCCGAATGTTTATCCACACTTTAGCAGTCATGATTGATTGGTTTCAGATTGTAGATGAGATTGAATCGACTTTTGTTTTAGTTATTGGTTTGTAAGAAGCACTGTCGAGGTTCGTGATTCATGATGTTGGATGCATCGTGTATCGTGAAGTATTTATGAATGTTGATACTACTCATTGGCAAGGCTACATCTTATTTCCTCGGCTACAGCCTTCTTCAATTGTCGCCTGTGTGCTTCAAATTTTCTATCTGTCTCTCAGTCCAGGTGATTCCGTTAAAATGATCGAATGTCATGATTCAGGACCGGCAATCAGATTTTGTTCTGTGTACACATGGCTCGAGGAGAAGATAAGAACTAACCCCGGGGCAAACATTCTATTCTAAACTGCCATGGTCTCAGCTGAAGGCCCACTAGACTCATCATGGCAGCCTAATATCTACTTGCCAAGGACTTCAACAGCTCTACCCCGCAGGGTGAGATTCTCTCCCTCATCTCATCTTCATTTCAACACCAACATCGGTCTACAAGTTAAACAAAATGGCACAAGTTCAAGGCATGTGCCATCCGGCCTTCTCCTCCCTCAAAGCCCTCTTTGAGGAGTACCTCGCCTCCGGCGAGGAACTCGGCGCCGACATCTGCGTAAACATCAACGGGGAGACCGTCGTCGACCTCTGGGGCGGCTACGCAGACACTGCGCGCACAAAGCCCTGGACCAGAGACACCATCACACCCGTCTGGTCCGTCACTAAGATCGTCACTGCCCTCGCCGCACTCACCCTCATCGACCGCGGCCAGCTCGACCCCTACGCCAAAGTCGCCCAGTACTGGCCCGAGTTCGCCGCGCACGGCAAGCAGGACATCGAGGTCCGCCATCTCCTCAGCCATACCGCCGGTCTACCCGCCTGGGACCCGCCCCTGTCCCTAGAAGAATACTACAACACGCCCTTGGCTACGCAGAAACTCATCGAGCAACAGCCATGGTGGACGCCCGGCTCCGCCTCGGGTTACCACCTCACGGCCCAGGGTTTTCTTATTGGCGAGCTGGTCCGGCGCATCTCAGGCAAGTCGCTGACGCAGTTCATCGCCGACGAACTTGCGACCCCGCTCGACGCGGATTTCCAGCTCGGCGTCGCGGAGAAGGACTGGCCGCGCACGGCGGACATCGTGCCCCCCCCGCCTGCACAAAAGTTTGCCCTCGACCCGCAGAGTATCGCTATGCGCGCATTCCGCGGGACCCCCGCCGACGCAGCGGAAAGCATGACGCCTGAGTTCCGCCGCGCGGAGCAAGGTGCGTCAGGTGGGTTCGGCAATGCGCGAGCCATCAACAAGATTACCTCGATGGTTACGCTGGGCGGAAGCGTAAACGGGAAGCGGTTCCTCTCGCCGCAGACGATCGATCTGATCTTCCAGGAGCAGATCAGCGGCGTGGATCTGGTGATGGGGGGCTTTTTCCGGTTTGGGCTTGGCATGGGCTTGCCGGTGCCGGAGAATAAGGGTTTGGAATGGCTGCCGCAAGGGAAAGTGTGCTTTTGGGGAGGCTGGGGTGGGTCAATCGCGATCATGGATTTCGGTCGTAAGGTGACGATTACGTATACGTTGAATAAAATGGGGACTGGGACGCTGGGGAATCCACGCACAGAGAAGTATGTCAAGGCCGTGTATGCGGCGTTGGATGCGTATAAGCCATGATGATGTTTTCTTCTTCTGGAAAAATATGTATATGGTGGTATTTAGATCTCATATCTCATATCGTACAGAGTTATGTCTATCTTCTATCGCTGAGTGCTCACGTTCGCGTCCTCCTCCACATTCTCAATAAGGTCATGGCTCGACAAGGTACCCACCATCCCGTCAGGAACCTCGGCGCTGAATAAACTTGTTAGTGCGATCCACTGTCTGAGGACAGGTAGACGAACGTGAAGCCCTTGACTAGTTCAAAGTCCGACTTGATGCTGCCGCCGCTTGAGGTGATGTTGTCTTTCACCCTGGTTGTCAGGTTGTCAGCGGCATGGCATCGCATCGCATCGCTAGTATGAAGCGACACTTACTGTTTGATTTGGTCGTCGGTCGCACTTGATTTCAGGGTGATCTATGTTACCGTGACTGTTAGAAGATATTTTTCGCTTGATGGAGTTGTGAGACTTGCCATAACAGCAGGCATTTTGATAGAGATGACGGACTGGTTCTTCGGGAAGATAACTAGAGGTTTGGGATGTCCTGTCTGGATTGCCCCAAAAAAAAAAAAAGTTCATTCGTTGTTGACCTTATATAGATTATTGATGTTATGATCCAAAACTGGATCTGATAATGATATCACTCCGCAGATGAGCCGTCCCCTCCCCACCAATGAAACAGATCTCCTTTCATTCCTTCATGCCACGTGCTTCATCTAGATAATCATCCCAGCCACAGAGTCATCGATCGACAAGCTTCAGAATCTCCTCCGCTATCCGTCGATACCCCGTCATCAGCCCCTCGTCATCCTCCCCGGGCTTCATCGCCAGTAATCTCGGATGTTGCCCGAGCGCCTCGGAGCACTGCCACGTATGATTCTTGCCTGCAGTCACATCCAGCGCGATCGCCGCCCCGTCACGCCGTGCATGCGTCACAAAATCCTCAATGTCGTACAGGAATACCAGCTCCTCCGCCCCGGCCGAGACCCACGTGCGGTCGGGGAGGATCTCCTTCCAGGATCCACGCGCTGCCACGTCGACTGCGAAGTTGCTGTACACTTCGGCGATGTGGGCGGGGGCGCTCCGCATCACCTGCTCGCAGCATTTGTCTAGTGAGCGTTTGAAGAGCCGCTCCTCCCAGTGGAGCGCCAGCGCGCGGGGATGGGACGTGTGTAGATTCAACCAGGGGCTGACTAGGATTGCTCCGGCGGGTCGGTCTAGATGGTGATCCGCGCCGTGTCCATCATTGGCTCTCTGATAGCGCTGGTGAAGGCCTGTCAGTAGAGACACGATTAGATGCCCCCCTGCGGAATCGCCGATCACCACGATCTTGGATGCGTCCACTCCTAGCTCCTTGTTGATCCAGTCGTAGGCGGCAATCGCTTCGTCGCGCTGTTTCGGGAATGTAGCTGCCGGGAAGAGGGTGTAGTCCAGGGAGAAGATGGCGACCGTAAGCCCGTGCCGTTGAAGAAGCTCTGCCATGAAGAGATGTTCTGGCGCTCCGGCAGACGGGTGGAAACTCACGTATCCGCCGCCGTGACAGTGGAAGAGCACCAGGTCCGCATCGCGGGGGTGGATCGCCTCGGCTGACAGTCCACGGCAAATCCAGAAGCCGCAGAAGTCTGCTCTGCGTACGCTCTGGTAGATTTGGCGTTTGAGATGCCCGTAGCGGTTCGAGGTGAGTAGGTTCTGGCCGGTTCGATCGGCGACGTTGTCCCAGAGCGATCCGGGCGTATTGTTTCCCAGGCTACAAGAGAATTGACACCGTATGAATATTCAACGATGCACAAGACGCAGTCAAGGATTGTTTTTGATGGATACACACCAGGTCATGACATGCCGGAAGACGTGTTCCCTAAGCGGGGGCGGATGGTAAGAAGACCAGGGCGCCCAACGCCGCAAGAGAGTAGTCAAGACGGTCCATGGCACTCGAAAACAAACTGTCACGGCAATTTGAAGATATTCGGCAATGGTGAGTTTCTTGACTGGGTTAGGTTCCGGGAAAGACTCCATTGTCGAAATATCGTTTCTTTGCGAAAGAACCCATTCATGAGAATGATAGTGCATTCAATGCTGCCATAATTCTTTATATAGCCTGATATCAACCGGAGTGTTTGCATTCAGGCTGAAATAGGTAGATCTGTTCAACGCGACAGTTCGAGAAGCATTTAGCTCGCTTCATGTGTATAACCACTTTCAGAACGGACTAGATTCCGAAACCGTTTTTTGAATCGCCTCCGTTGGTGTATAAAGCACATATATGCCATGCTTTTTCATATCGATTGATACGATATAGCGACTGATCCGATCGATCCTCGAGACCACGACGGGTCATTTCTCTATGACGCTCGCGACTTTTGGCCGGTGTTAAGCTCGTTCCAAAGCCAGCAGTGGGATCGCACAGCGCGCACATTCACTCGCATCCATGCTGAAGACGCCAGATCGGGGACAATATTGCGAGTCTGTTGGCCTTCGAGCAGATGCAGACCAAAAACGTCTTGGATTAACGCTGTCCGTGTTGAGATACCAATATCTAGACAGCTGCTCAAAGAAAGGATGTCATTATTTTTGAGAGAAAATCACCGGCACAATTCGCTTGGACGAAAAGTCTCATAGGCCGCTAACAAAGGTACCATCTATGGCCTTCTAGGACAATAGTGCTAATCGAGCCATTTCGAATAATTGGCGAATCTGTCACCGTGCGAATCAAGGACGATGTGCACTGGCCGTGGTCCTTTCCGAGCGGAGATTGTGATCGATTCACTGCCTCGGTATAGAGCTCGGGGATCTTCTGCGGCAGACATGAACACCTGAAAAACCAAACATTGGCTGGTGATCCGTTATTCCTCCACATTATTTCGCAAGGATTGCCAATTCAGGAAATATGTTGTGAATCCATGCCGCCGTCAACCGAGCTCCGAAAGTAAGATCGAGATCTCGAGATTCGGTTATAAATATGTCAATCTCAGCGTTCTAATACAATTCACTCGTATGCCGGTCGCCTTATGTACCAGAACGTCAATTGCGAGCAAGATGACAGCCAAGCTAGTCCTTCCCCTGCTCAGCGTGTTCGCGCTGTACGCCATCTTCTACTTCGCCGAAATCAATGGCTTGAATCGTCTGGCACAGGAAGCCATCTCGGCAAAGACACTGCCAGGCACCAATGAGCCTCTACGCACCGTCTATACGGGTATTACGCAGGTGGATAATGTGCTAGCTGCGTTGACCACCTTTTTCTGGCCTGCCACGGATGGCAGTAATCTTACCCTGACGCTGCATTCCATCGCTTTCTCTGGCACTTTTGGTGCTGCCTGGACCTTGGTGACTCTGGAGTCCTGGAGACGTGGAAATGCCTGGACGATCGCTGCATTGTCGGTAATCCTCCGTCACATCTATGAGACAGAAGAAGCTGACAGGAAGAACCAGTCCCACGATGTTCGGCCTCCTCGCGCAGGTACTCACCTTCGCCTTCGCCACGCCCCTGTACTGCGCGTTTCAGCTACACAACTCCATCACGGCGCGCAAGCCCAATGCTGAGAACATCCGCATTCCTCGCGCAGTTCTAAATGCCATCCCTCTGGTCTTTATCCTTGGATTCATGGTTCCTACGTTGCTGATGATCCTGCCCGTTTCGGAGCACGTCACCGTCGACCTGAAGCAGATCTTTATTGCATCCTGGCATCCCTGGCCTGCATATGTTGCGATTGCTCTCACCATAATTAACATTGTCTTCAGTCCCTTTGTGAGCAATGATCAATCGGTTGAAGGTGCACGCGCGAATCTCCGGTCGCTGCGATTCGTGTATGCCTTTGCATTCGCCAACGCTGCGTTGACCCACCTCATCTCGTGGATCGTATCTCTGGCTACTGTGCTTGTCCCCGCCATCTTTGAGAAGCGGCTGTTGGCAGTTTTGCATCCGTTCAAGGTGTTCGAGATTGCCTTGCCTTGGACAAAGCCAGCATTGCAAGTGAGCGACATCGGGGAGGGTGTACATGTGTTCCTGCGCTGGGATTATCTGATTGGCTCCGCGGGAGTGCTGGTTTGGGCCTTGAGTTTGTATAAGACTGCTCATCTGGTTGTTTATGGCAAGGTTGAATGGCTGGATCTGCTAAAGAAAACTGTGCTGTTGGTAACTCTGGTCGGGCCCGTGGGGGCTGCGGTCGAGTTGATGTGGGAGCGCGATGAGTTGATCATTTATGAGACTGGAGGGATGAAGAGAGAGACTTCACGAGAGAAGAAAACTTCTTGATTGTACCCTGCGCTCTGTGGTGGCTGCTTCGAAGGTCTGCATGCCAGTGTTGCTCGTGAGGTTCATGTTCCGGCTGGACTGAGATACTCGAGAATTGAAACCAGTAGAAAGTCTTGACTAAATGTGACATTTGCCGACGCCTCATGGATCATATCCGTTGGTCGATAAAGCAGGTGGCTGTTGTGATAGTGTCGGCGTCCCTCTTGTGTTCCCCGATGACAACATCCGCATACATAAATATTCGAGGGATTGCCCTAGCCTGAGGCAATCACTTCGTGCCACTTCAAAGGGAGTCAGATTTATCGTGGAGTGAAGATGATACTACGAAGCGGAAGAGTCTAACTTACACTTGACACCAATTATTACCTGGCCTCACAGATTGACTCAATTCATACTACGACACAATCCCTCCCATTCTATGCAATTGCGCATATTTTTTAACTCTGGTTAATATAACAAATTAAGTCTTCTACTTTCATCAAACCCAAGCATGTTAGCTCAGGGGAAGAGCGCCGGGCTCATAACCCGGAGGTCCCTGGATCGAAACCAGGACATGCTATTTGTTTTCTTTTTTGTTTTGTTTTTTTGATTCCCTTCTGTCCTTATACGCTTTACTATGGTAGCCAGTCCACGCGAGAGTATCTCGTGAGACTGATGTCACCAACCAAACCTTATAACATGAGCAGTTAATGACACGAGAGAAGGAAATCGCCTGGGTCCTACATGGACTACGCTCCCTGACAATAGACAGCTGGTTCCACTGACACTTCGGGCACTCACTGCTCCAGCTGGTATGATTAGGCAATCATGGTCTCTACCACGCTGGTCATGCTTGCCTCGGAAAGAATGCTGATATTGTTCAAATGGAATGAATGGGGCTCGATACGGACGTGATCGTACTTGCGCTGGTGGTGTTCAACATTTGATACCTTCGGTCCGATCCACTAGGTGAAACGTGACTAACCTCCTTTGATCAGAGGGTCAGACGACAAATTCCTGTAATTGCATGTGTGAGTAGGCTTTCGTGACCTCAGGAAGGAGTATCACTATGCAAGATTTGCGAGATTTAGGGGTCGTCTACGAACAGCATTGTTATGAAGCTAACCGTACGGGAGTCCCCGGGCAAGGACATGATTAAAGGGTCATAGTCTATTTCTTAATGCATATATTCCGACAGAGCCGCCAGCCTTTACCTTAATAAGACTATCCAGAAATATATCGGCAAAAAAAAAGGGGTAGTAATGCACTACACTGGGAAGGGGAAAAAGGAAAACAAATAGCATGTCCTGGTTTCGATCCAGGGACCTCCGGGTTATGAGCCCGGCGCTCTTCCCCTGAGCTAACATGCTTGGGATTAATATTGTTGTCGGTTTTTGGTTATATAAGCCCAGGGAGAAATTATCTTCGTATTGCAACTCGTGGCTCATTAGACAAAGCGACTGATCATTACAAATTGCTTATTGCCGAAAGGAACGTGGGGAGTACGACCCAATGCCTGTACTATTTTCAGGATCGAGGTCAGCGATGGGCAGGAATGTCAAAGATTAAATTTTATTACGCAGTACACTACTATCCGCCTTAGTATAGTCATGACACAACGGATAGGTCTCTGAAGTTTTTGAGGGCTATCAAAGTAATTTCTAAAAAGTGAAGAATAGACAGACGTGAAGGAAGGGAACTGAAAAGGAAAAAGGATTGAGCAAGGTACGAAGATTATGTATGTGGCCAGAGGAAAAAACGAATCAGATAGCATGTCCTGGTTTCGATCCAGGGACCTCCGGGTTATGAGCCCGGCGCTCTTCCCCTGAGCTAACATGCTGATTTGTCTTGGCATTTAGTTGCGCCCTTGGATCCAAATACCTCCTTGTCAGTCTCTGCTTTACCCAGTCGCGCTGTAAGAGAAAATATCATGGCATAGAGGACTCATCGTTCTCTTTATTCTGATGATATGCGTTAGATATATTTCAATTCAAATCTAGCAGCAGACCATGGTCAATGTGATGACTTCAGAACGCCTTGTCTGCTTTTCGGTGCTGGTTCTTCTCTACAACCTAAGCGAAGAGGTACGTTTCGTACGAGAAAGCTCATTCCACCTATGGTACGATTGCAGTTGTACTTCGCTCCTATTAATGGACCATGGAGGCGAGTCCGCGAGTACTAGACCAGAAATAGTTCAGACAATTGGTCCTCGGATCATTGAGGCCTAGTCCTATGGTAACAAGGTGTTTCGATTATGAAGCAGTCGCAGATCGTAACTCCTCACTGGCTGCGACTTTATCAAATGGTTTCAATATGAGTGGAGGAACGAACTTGAACATTTCGTGCGACTTCAAGCTCAATTCCACGAGTCTCGGCGCGCTTCCGTATGAGGGACTTGAGCTGACGTGGTAGATGACTGGTAAGACATAATCATCAACTCATCGAAAGCACAAAGCACTCTCTGCACTGTTTCAGAAAGGAAAAACCTAAGTTAGTCTGCGCAGGAGTCCAACAAGCCACAGCTCTCTCCAACTAATGCAGAGAGTCCGATGAGGCGTAAGATGATTACGCATTCGAATATGCACCATTCAATTCGACACAGGACATGCGTGGACGTTTCTTGGCAGAGAGGAAACGCGCACGCATTCTGGGTTGTGGAAACTTGCAGATTCACAAGTCCAGATTGATGCTTGGTCTTCATGAAGTTGCTTGTTCCAGATTGGCATCCGCAGTTTCGAAGAAGAGTTGGGCGATATCGGCAGAGCACCGCCAAGCAAGCTCCACTGGGCTGATATCATAGTGCCCCTGGTGTTCAATTTCCATGACGATGTTGAGCATCAGCGCTGTCACTACAATTGAACGACGATGGTCCAGCTTCTGAGGTTTAGCAATATACAAGCATTCCTTGGCTCCTATGGGAAGCGAGGACAGTAAAATCTGCGATCATATTTCACCCCCCTCAGTTACTCGAGCATGTCAGCAGTAAATAGATACAGCATGCACCAGGGCAGATCCGCCGTCGGGAGGGAGAACCGCCCGCTCTGAGCCGATGGGCCAGTCAGGTCAGCCTGTCAGCACATGTCGGCTTTGGCTCAGCCGGATGCTAACTAGGAGGCTGTGCTTCAAAACCATGCTTGAATCTCTTTTTCCCGGTTTCTACCTTCCAAGATGCTGTGTGTACCTCTTTACAGAATAACATGAACTAGATAATATTATCCATCAATTATTTTGGAGATCCGCGCCCCCCAGACATGGGTACAGCCAAGAAGAACACAGTGTCCTGAGCTACCGCAGCCTTCGAATCAACCCCCAACTAATCTGCTGCTTCTAATTTGTCGCGTGCCTTAAAACAGTTAAACTTAACTCCCCGGGGAGTACGTGCGTCGCCCTGATGCCGCTGACGCAGCCCCTGCGGTGTAGGGCCGGTCGTCCATCACCAACAACACCACCATCAACTTCTGTCCTCCGCCGCCCCGTATTCAGTGGACGGTCCGGTATCATTTCCACTTCTGGCGCGCGTCTCTTACCCCTGAAGCGAGTCCTTTGTACATCAACGATCCTTCAGCGCCATAAGAGCCCCCTCTCCTCCAATGCTCGCATCCGCTCCTTTCCGCGTCTTTCATTAACACCATCGACAATATCTACCCCGAACCTCATAACCACTTCACTCATGGCAACTCAAACAAGAGAACACGGTGGTCATGGGGGCCATTCTCATCATCACCATCATCATCACGGAAATGTTTACCTCACCTCTGCGAACAAAAGCGACGCTGGAGTACGAATCACGCGGATTGGCCTGGTTGCCAACCTCGCCATGGCAATTGGGAAATTCATTGGCGGCTATGTCTTCCATTCGCAAGCTTTGATTGCCGATGCCTATCATGCCCTTACCGATCTCGTATCCGACTTTCTTACACTAGGAACTGTCGCGTGGTCTTTGAAGCCCCCTACAGAGAGATTTCCCAACGGTTACGGGAAAATTGAAAGCATCGGTGCACTGGGTGTGAGCGGACTCCTGCTTTGTGGGGGTGTGTTTATGGGCCTGAATTCAGGACAAGTTCTACTGGATCAGTTCTTTCCCGAGGCTGCGGAGGCGATTGCTCACTCCGGAGTTGTGGGTCATGGCCACTCGCATGTACACGGAGTCCAGGCCCTTGGGCCGAATATCAATGCGGCATGGCTTGCAGGGGGTTCAATTATCGTGAAGGAATGGCTCTATCGTGCCAGTGAGTGCTCAGTTCCAATTTCTCCCTACGTTACTGTGGCTATCAGCTAACCGCTGCGGCGTTGCTATTTCTAGCTATGAAAATTGCAAATGAACGCAAATCTTCTGTGCTCGCGTCCAACGCCGTACACCACCGCATCGACTCTCTCACTAGCGTCGTCGCCCTGTTCACGATCGGCGGATCTTACATGTTTCAAGATGCGTCTTGGCTTGATCCAGTCGGTGGCCTTCTCATTTCACTGATGGTGATTAAGGCTGGGTGGGCCAATACTGCGACATCCCTGCTCGAACTGGCAGATACTACGGTTGATGACGACATCAAAGACTCTGTACGCAATGCGGCAGCCAAGATCCTTGCCAAACTCGAAGATCCACACGCAATACAGATCCGGGACGTTCAGGGTATGAAATCTGGACAAAACTACCTCATGGAGATTGAATTAGCGGTGCCGGGGGCTTGGTCACTCAGCCGATCTCGCGAGATTGAGGAGACCGTTCGACATGCCGTCGGGGCGGCTGTGCGCGGGGTCAAGCGGCTCAAGATCCGATTTGTCCCTTCCGAACTGGAGCATTTGGACTTTACGGAGGAGTTTATCGCTCCAGAAGTCATCAGACAAAGTAACCCCGAGCCGCAAGAGAGCGATATTGATGCGGTGCATGAGGCGCATGCCCACGACCATCAACACAAGGAGAATGAGTCACGCAAGACCCGTTAAGCAATAGCGCTTGCATCTTTCCTCCTATACAAAGATCTGAAAATGGGACACATATTCGTCATGTTAACTTTGCACTT